GATTTTCTCAATATTTAGATTTTTTTGCACCCTCAGATTCCAGATTTTCAAATAGTTGTATCTCAGCCAAATATTGTCCTCCTATCATAACAAACCATACATCAATGGAAGGCTTATTTATTCAGCTTTCAGATGATGTATAAATCTCAATTTTGAAAAATTGACACTTAAGACTGGGTTTGTGGTCCAGGGTCACATATTATTAACATTAAATGAAAACAGCAGCAGCTTTCAGTCTGTCAGCATCATGCAAACATCAAACATACAGTAGTAGTTCTGCACAGGTTATATTGGCTTATTGGCAATGTGTCTAATTGTAACGTTTGCTCATTTTTTTTTTCAAAACTGTGATTCCTTGTTTAAAAAAAAAATAAAAAAATTGTGGCAAAGCATTACATTCGATGAATCAATCAAATCAGAACGAGTAGTTTGGCTGGATGCGGTTACTCAGCTGACTGTTGTTGATCTGGCAGGTATAAGATCATCACAGAGAAGCCTTCCGGCGCGATCTCGGGCCATCAGAAGTTTGAGAACGGGAAGATCGAGTGGAGCTCAGAGATGCCGATCTCCTGCAGCCTCTCGAAGTGAGTCTGAGTCTCCAGACGGTCCGGTTCGTTTAGAGAAGCATGTCTGATGTGTGTGTTTGTGTGTCTCAGGGGTCTTCAGAGTCTCCTCACTCCAGTTCTGGCTAACATCCTTGAGGCAGACCAGGAGAAATGCTGGGGCTTCGACCAGTTCTTCGCCGAGACCAGCGAAATCTTACACCGCATCGTGGTCTACGTGTTCAGTCTGCAGCAGGCCACGCTCCATCACGTCTACATACACACATACAACACGTGAGCACGCGTGTAACACACACACTCGATCACGACGGGCCCTTTTCACACACTGCGATGATGCTCTTCATTTATAAGACTGTATTTTTCTATATGTGACCCTGGACCACAAAACCAGTCATAAGGGTCAATTTCTCGAAATTGAGATGTATACATCATCTGAAAGCTGAATAAATAAGCATTCCATTGATGTATGGTTTGTTAGGATAGGACAATATTTGGCCGAGATACAACTATTTGAAAATCTGGAATCTGAGGGTGCAAAAAAATCTAAATATTGAGAAAATTGCTTTTAAAGTTGTTCAAATGAAGTTCTTAGCAATGCATATTACTAATCAAAAATTAAGTTTTGATATATTTACAGTAGGAGATTTACAAAATATCTTCATGGAACATGATCTTTCCTTAATATCCTAATGATTTTTGGCATAAAAGAAAAATCAATAGTTTTGACCCATACAATATATATTTTCTTTTTACAATGTAGTTTTCGTTCACCACTATCCACCTTAGTTTGCAGTGTGCAAGTAAGCTATTTTCTGTGAATGTGTAAGACCCATCAGCTGCTATGTAAATAACTAGAATAATAACAAATCGCGGTAAATATTAAAACTGTTTTCGCTACAAACTATGAGAACCACGGAAATGTGAAAAGGGTCTTTTCGTTCTGCTAATGTAAAAATCATTTAAGCCGTATTTATTATTTGTTGATAATCTGTGTTTAGTCGTGTTATTCTATTGACAGTGTGATATTTTCTCTCCGTTCAGTGCGAATCTCTTTCAGGAGCTGCTCTTCAGACGGACCAACATAACGCCGTCTCATCAGGACTTTCTGTACGAGGGCCAACGCCTCGTCCTCGACCCCAGCCGGCAGGCTCAGACCTTCCCCAAGACCTCCAGAGAGAATCCCATAATGCTACTGAGCAGAGACCCTGTCAACACCGTCGGCCTGCTGTTTGAGGACCGTGAGTGTGACGACGCTGACAGTCATGTGATGTTTGCTAGTAGAGGTCGACCGATGGTGGATTTGACCAATACCGATAGCTAGGTTGGACCTAGGGCTGGGTAAAAAACTCATGTAATCGCTCAATCAGTGTTTCAGCCGCGCAAAAACGTCATAATGGCTTGTAAACAATGTCACGTCACGTAACGTCACATTTACCTATTTGGTATAAACTGTAGAGAGGGGCATTTTGCTAAATATATGCATCATATAACATATTCATTATAATTTTCACTGTTCTTCAATGTTTAATTTATGTTTGAATAAATCCATCAAGTT